AACATATCTTTCTGGATTGTGCTCAACATATGCGCGATGTTATCCACTAGATCACCCTGCGGAACCACTTGCCTTGTAGAAGTGTCGCGCCGAACGACAGTCACTTGCTTCTGGCCTAGGTCGCGAGGACCGATTTCAATGCGCAGCGGCACTCCCTACGAACAATTCATTTTATCATACTTGATCGCCGCTTTCGTTACAGGACATATGAAAGCAGCAAAAACAGTGACCAGGTATGAAGGAGTGAGTTGATTCAGTAATACTAGGGAATACTCGATATTAAAAGTATACGTCAACTCCTGTTCAAAGAGTAGAAACATCTGTGCAGAAGTCTTTGTAGATCTTACAGGGAGTTGAGAGAGACTGACTGATAATGCCTACCGGGTATAATATTAAACCGTAGTACACCTTACTCGAGAGTGAGCAACATGAAGGCTGCTTGTTTGTTAGGCGCTCCTCCATTAAAGTCCGCTAATTTGGCAAAAGAACAAAAAATAAACAGGTGACAGAAAATATGTACCTTCAGCTCCCAATGATTAAACTTCCAGCCAGGAGAACAGTTTTCTCGTAGGTCACAGAAACTTCGGATATCCGCCTTGACCAACTGTTCGTTCACTTTGACGCAAACGTCATGGATTTCGTCAGCTTTCTCCTTTTTTAAGCTCGAAGTTATACCGCAAGGTATGACAACCACCTACAAAATGAAAAGCGGTGAGAGTAAAACAAATAAAAATATTTAACATGGAAGAACAAAATTCTCAACACCATCATCAGTACTGGATCAGACCACAAGCATTTACGCTCCAGTGTGAAAAGACTCGACGAAGAGAATAACACCGCGGTTGCAGAAGAATACGAATAAGAGGGCTAACATAAACGAGGAAAAGCCTGAAAGCTGAAGAACGGGATATTCCCATAAAACAGGATTTTGAGAGCGCCGAAAGATGAAGAAAAATAATATCACCAGTCGCAATTAGATGAACTCCATCTGCACAAAGTTCAACAACAACCTGTACTTTTCCAAAGTAGACGTAACTCTAAAGCTGCCGCGCGTTATCCCAGAAGCCGTTCCCGAAGTCGCCTGAGACGAAATTGAGCGAACAATCAGAAACATCAAAATTTCAAATGCCCAGGCAAATATAATATAAGACCACAACAACACCTTAAAGCTGGAGATCAAATCCTGCTCAAAGAGCTTGTCAAACGCTTTACGTATGCATCAGGTAAAACAGGACATCTGTAGTGTAAAAGACATCAAGAACGATTCTTCTTGTGAAGAAAACCAATTGCGAAGACGGAAATTGTCCACCAATTATACTTCTGTAAAATCTAGAACCTCTTCCCCCACATCGTTCTCAACCGTATTCGGTCGGACTTCGAACTGATCACAAGTCAGGAACAGATCTGTTTTCGAAAAGGGCTTTCTCCCATCGACAGAAAAATGCAACATGTATCAGGAATTTCGCTTTCATCGATTACAAGGTGTTCGATTCGATAGAATTGACGGCTGTGCTAAATGTCTAGCATGAACGTGGCATGAACACTGTTGATGAGGAGCTGAATATCGGTTGCACGACTGGCAATATAATCTGTTCTGCGAATAATGTCGCGTCGGTAACCACCGAAGAATGTGCCAACGGGGTACAATCTAGCCAGCGCTCTTCGCTACAGCCTAGGAGTCGTTCTTCTACCGGTTAAACAGGTGCAATACATCAATACTGATGGAGAGCGCTAACACACTTGTAAGATGCGCACGCCTACCACGTCTTCGCACAAGACACGATGGAGCCCCAATGGAAAATCCAACAACTACGAGGAAAATCTTTCACTACTAGATCGGAGGTTAACCTTAGCTAGAAGAAATGAATACGAAACAAGCGCTGTCTCGAAGGCTCTATATACGCGAACTGCGAAAGCCAGCTATTTATACTTCGGCCGAAAAGTGGATC